CCTTTTCCAAGAAATTTTATTAGTCGCAACCTCCATCAGTCATGCACTTATTCTGACTGCAATAACTGGATCATGCGCGACGTTATGTTACTCGCTAGTTGGTAATAAATATTATTATTATCTGGATTCTTCAAAGTATCTGTTCCATTTTGACGGGTTCTGTCGGGCGCCATCACGGTAGACACTCTTCTGCGTATATCAGCATCTATCCTCAAACATATTAGCGGGCAACTCAGAACTAATGGTACCCCTATCAACTTGTTCGCTGCTTTCAACTACGGGCTTTTTGAACGGTGACATCATAAAATGGATAGCATCAGAAGGATGCTCAAACAGTTAGTGGGCGGAGCACCATAAAATAGCATTAATAAGAGGACTCAAAGAACCGATTTTATGCAGCTTGCAGAGTATTTGTTCGGCGCTAAGAACAGCCAGTAATGTTCAAAGTAGGTGTATCATCTGTTATGTTGACAATGAAATTCCCCACGTTTATTCTGTCCCCGTCTGTAACCCCCGCCCCACTTTTGTGTTTAGTGTGTACATATGAACTGACGTTTTGCTTGTCCTACCACTTCACCCATTCGGCCTTGAGGTCATCCTACCTTTTGTTTCCGACTTTGCACGTGTGGTTGTCGCACGTGGGAGCCTGTTTGCTCCCTTGCTTTGTACTTTTGTAGTCCAAGCGGACTGTTTGTTTTGGACGCGTATCTACTGTCGACGTTTGTACAATTTGTGAATTACTCTTACCCTAATAGTACCGTATAGAAACCCAGCTCCGACCTCGTTTTGCCTACCCGGTGTTTCTGGTTTTACGCGTCACTCGAAGATACCGTTCGACCGTTACAGTGGATGTTCCATAATACTGGAATTAGTTCACGAAAAATCCTCATACAAAATGCATCTCGTCACGTCTGACCTTAACCATATGCCCATACTAACACCATTCTATTCGAAACACCTCAGTGAAAAAAAATTGAGAGGGAGCGTACTTCACACTCTGTAGTGGGTGCTCCACCAGAGGAGAAGGTGATCCGTTGTACGTAGAGCAGTCGTATCGGTCACGGATTCACGGATTCACGGATTGATACACAGGATCGAGGCTTTTGCCCAAGTTTCCCGGGTCGGCTTTGTTCTTGTCGGTCAGTGGCTGTCGTTCACCTGAAAGACACAGGTGAAAAAAGGGTGTAGCACTGCTCTTTATGTTCACAGCGCGGGGCAGTATGCTCGCCAGCGCGAGGATTCGCATAAATAAATGTCTAACAGTCCTTCAAACTGGGTTCTAGAAGGAGCGTGTACAACCGTCGGAGGAAGGTCATTCCACGCAGCTACTACCCGAAATGAAAAAAGATTTGTCTAATGAATGTGTGTGCCCCGAGCGTGAAACTTTTCTTACTATGTCCTCGCCGGGTGTTTGCTGGGTCAACGGTAAAAACCTGTTTTCCAAGCTTTGTTCAAACAGGGCGTAAGTAAGAATTAGGTCCCCTCGGAGGCGACGGTACTCCAGGGGAAAGAGATCGAGCATCGCCAGACGCGCTTTGTAGTCCACGGATTTGAGGCCGGCAACCATTCTCGTGGCAGCCCACTGAACACACTCAATGAGTGTGACGTCCTTCGTACGTCCTGAGTAGACAACTTGGTTGGCGTACTCCAGGGGTGGTCTGATGTAGGCCATACAGGGTATTTGGAAGTCCATGCGGGTAATACGGGAGAAGGTGCGTCGGATCATCCGTAAAATGGCGAATGCCTTTTGGGCCGATTTCTCATGGTTTAGTGAGAAGGACAAGTTTGAGGAGACCCAGATGCCTAAATCTTTTTTGGCATCTATCCTCATGATGTTTTCTGGTCCCTTTTCACCATGC